CCCCCCCCCCCCCTCTATTTGCAGAATGGGTTGTTTTTATTGATTGTAGCTGGTTTTTGGGTGCGATGTGGATATCTCATATTCTGGAATAAATAAAATTAAACATTCTTACTTCTCTCTTTTTCTTGAAGACCGAATGGTTCCTTTCGTATGCCGCCCTACTCACTGTGTCGCTCACAATAATATCAAATATTTTGTCGAAATGGGAGATGTCGGCCTCCAAGAGAGGTCCGTATACCCCGTTCCAAATATTAGATCCCTCCCAAGATGGAACGTGTCCTAGACCAAAATCAAACCGTGTTGAAGATATACTACTCTCCCTCGCTCATTCCTGGTCTACAAGCTCCAGGCAACAAATCAAATGGAGTTCATCCTCCCGCGCTCCGACTCATCCATCTCGCGGTAGAACCCGGCCACCAGGAATGCCAGCTCGAGGGCCTGCTTCTCATTCAGCCGCGGGTCACAGAAGGTGGTGTAGCGCTCGCCGAGCCCTTCCTCGGTCAACCCGGCGGCGCCGCCGACGCACTCGGTGACGGCCTCGCCGGTGAGCTCGAGGTGCATGCCGCCGAGGAAGGAGCCGTGGGCGCGGTGGATCTCGAGGGCCTGGCGCAGCTCGGACAGGATGTCGCTGAAGTGGCGGGTCTTGACGCCGGTGGGGGTGCTCTGGGTGTTGCCGTGCATGGGGTCGCACTGCCAGACGGGGAGGTGGCCGGCGCGCTGGACGGCCTCGATGTGGCCCGGCAGGTGGCCGGCGATCTTGGCGGCGCCGTAGCGCGAGATCAGCGTCACCTTGCCGATCTCGCGCGTGGGGTTGACGACGTCCAGCAACTGCGTCAATTCCTCCGGGGTCATGCTGGGCCCGATCTTGATGCCGATCGGGTTGGCGAGGCCGCGGAAGAACTCGACGTGCGCGCCGTCGAGTTGGCGCGTGCGGTCGCCGATCCAAAGGAAATGCGCGGACGTCGCGTAGAAGGATTTCGAGGGGAGGAGTGGAGTTTGCGGGCTTATGCTTGTTGCCGTTGCCGGTGCTGTTGTCGTGGTTGTCGTCGGGTCCGCGGCGGGTGGTGGCGGCTGGGAAAACGAAGGGGGGGAGAACATGGAGAAAGCAGGGGCGGAGTTGGGGGGTAGGGGATTGCGGAGGAGACGGGTGAGACTGGTCTCGTATTCGAGGAGCAAGCCCTCGTGGCTGGTGTAGACGTCGACGGTCTCAACGCCGCGGTCGGTGTCGATGCCGACGGTTTGCATGAAGCGGAGGGCGTCCTTGACCCGCGACACGATGCGTTCGTATTTCTCCTTGATGGAGGGGGTGATGACATGGCCCAGGCCCCAGTCAAGCGGGGAGTGCAGGTCGGCGAGACCGGAGGAGAGGGAGGCGCGCATGTAGTTCAGCGTCGCGGCGGAGTGGAAGTATGCCGACACCAAGCGCGAGGGGTCCGGTTTGCGCGATTCGGGCGTCGCTTCGAAGCCGTTGATGTTGTCGCCTCGGAAAGAAGGCATCTCGACCCCGTTGATCGTTTCCATGGGGCTGGATCGAGGCCTGGTGGTGCCGGAATTAGTAATGAGTCCTACAATAGATCGTACCAGAATATCCCGACGATGGAACATGCTATAAGCGGAACGAACGTACTTTGCAAACTGCCCTGCAATCCGCGCAATCCGCACCACAGGCTTATTCGCTCCTAGAAGATCTGCATGAGCAATCTCACCATCGCATTGGCGAGTATCTGACAGACTTACCCCAAATCAACACCAGACTCATCTGCAGAAGCAGCTTCACTTTGGCTTCGATCATCTCCTGGTTACAGTAATCAAACAGCTCGGCGCAGTCACCTGATCACTGTCAGAGCTCCTTCACACATCAAAGAACAAGTTAAAAACTAACCTCCCTGCAGCACAAACGCCTTCCCCAAGGCGACATTTCGCAAGCTCTTCTTCAGGTTCGCAACCTGTGCCATGATTTGCGATCAGCCAAGCACATTACACACATACACATGCACAGAGAAGACCTCCAATGCCGGTACAAAGCATGAGTTACACAGGAAAACACACCTCTTGTGTGGTGACCAGCGGAGGAAGTTTCCGTAGCTTCTCGAGAGCTGCCTCAGTCGCCTTTGTGTCCTCGTACGCGACGCATTGTTTGGCGGGCTTGGACGTCCAAGCTAAGAGCCAGACGGTATTAGCAGCATTTCTTGGATTCGGAGCATGGGGATATTGCTCTCGTTGTCAGGAGACAGAACATACACGTAGGAGACCAGGTCTCCATGATTCAAGGAGATATAGATTTGGCGGTGTGATTGAGGGGTTGTGAGGAGGTCGAAGAGAAGGAGGCAGGGAGGCGCTGTACGCAGGTATGATTCTAGCAATGATCGACGGCTAGCAGAGCTTGGAATGACAGCGGACACGCAAGAAAAGTGTGGAGATATGTCAGGAGTGGATTGGACCCTTCTTTATAATGTTTCGATGAGTACGGGAACCGCCACTTTCTATGAGACGAAATGGGAGGAAAGAATGAAGATTCTCATTCGAATCTGACTGATTGAGGAGGAGGGAGAGAAAGAGAAGGGGATTAAGGGGGAGAGAGAGAGGAATGGGGAGAAAAAAAGAAAGCAAGAACAAGTTCGAAGTTGCACCAGGCCTGAAATGGGATGATTCATGCTACTTTCTGGAAGGTGAGGAACGCACGGCTATTCGCGGCCTGACTCATTACTCCCCGGCACTAGGCCACTTAGGGTTAGATCCGGATTGTTAGGTTGATAGTTCTACCGGCATGTTTGTCTGTTTGTTTCTGGTCTGTACGTCATGCACAAGTGCTTGTGATAACTACTAACAGTAGCTCATGTTCGAACATGCTGAGAAATGATCATTACTCTCTTATCACCAATCTCAATCAACAACAAGAAGTGACTGAACTAACTAACAAACCAAACCATTCAACCATGTCCGACTCCATCCCCTCAGCGCACGCCGACCCCGACCCCGCCGAGCAACCGCTCCCCGCCAACGCCGAGGACCGCAAAGCCGCCGCCGCCCTCTCCTCCCTCCATACCAACGAGATCGCCGCCACCGACTCCCCGACCAAGCAACCCTCGTCCGCCGACCAGGAGGCCTTGGGCAAGGCCATGAGCCGGCTCGAGATCGCAGCCGGTCACCCTGCGGGCAACAAGCGGGCGGGGACGACGCAGCAGGGTAAGGAGGGAGGGGAGCTGGTGAAGAAGAAGGCCGTCAAGGTCAGCGCCGACGACGTCAATCTTCTGGTAGGTCTCTGCTCTGCCGTCCTCAAACCTGCCTGGTGTCTTTGGGGACGCTCTTAGACATTGGGCTGGTTGATGAATGGGGCTTCGCTGGGCTAATGTGTGTCAATCGCGCGGTGCCTTGCAGGTGGATCAGTTGGATTTGAATAAGCTCAGGGCCACGGAGCTGTTGAAGGCCCACGAGGGGAATGCGGCGCAGGCGATCAAGGCGTTTATTACGCCTGCGACGCTTGCACGTTGAGGCTGCGGGTCAGTCGGGTTTGAAAGTGGGGATGGGCCGGCGGCTGGATGGGCTGGATCTATGCAGGAGAGGAGGCGTTGTTGGTTCGGAGTTCCATTTATCCATTGAAATGACAAAATCTATGAATGCTATGAATTAATATGCCACACTTCATCAATGAATAACTTCCAATCAATCGTTTCAGGACATTTCTCGTAAGATTCGTGACAACCCTCATCAATGAATCCATGATGCCCATGTCGCGTAGTAATCGTGTATGTACCCCATGCACATATATAGTCTAGTATTTCTAGTCCATCTGATGAGCCGACCGTTTTTAGCGGCGCTCCTCAAATCCATCCTCCTCCTCCTCCTCTTCTTCCTCTAACACCTTCTTCCTCTCAATGCCTTTACCCTCGTAGATCATGAACAGGGCGAACCAGCCTATCAATGCCTCCAGGGCCAGGGCCCACCAAATCCCGCCGACAAAATTATGCTCCAGTCCCAAGCCAAGACCCCAGCCTCCAATCATGGGGCCTAAGGTACGAGCCCCGCTGGAAATGCTCTGCGCGACCCCATGAATTGTTCCAAGAACAGAGGCATCGGTGACGCAGTTGTTCACCAGGATGACAGCCGCCGGGAGAGCGAACGTCCTCGAGATAACCTGGAGACCCACAACGATCGTGAACGCAGGCCAAACCATCCAGGGTACCCGCGGAAGCACGAGAAGGAAAGGCATCAATGCATATGCAAGTGGTGAAAACGGTAAAAAGGTCCGGAAAGAGGTCAAAGTTCCCAAGTAACCTTGCACGCGGGGGTAAGTAAAGATCTGCAACGGCAGACCAATGATCCCAATGATAGCCGTCGCCATGCCGACTCGAGAGGACGGCAATCCCAAACCACCACTGAAATGGAAGAAGCCCTTCCGGCTATCTTCTGGGGCTCGTGGAGTTGGCAAGAAAGTGAACGTCATCGAATTGAATGCGCTGGTATGGAGAGCCAGAAGGAATTGAACCAGCAAAGTCAAGAGAACGTTCGGTGTCCAGATCTGCCAGAAGCTCGGGCGTTTGGGGCGCGGCCGAGCACGGGAACGGATAGGGCTGGGAGGGGCGGACATGCTGGTCACGCTGCCATCAATGTAAATGGATTCATTGTCCGGATGGGTTCTGAGCCGACGATAGTAGCGACTCCGGCGGCGCGAAAAGAACTTCGTAATCGTGCGTCCCAGCTTCCGACCCCAGTCGTCTCGGTAGCGCGCAATTTCATGGGTCTCATTGAGACCCAAGAACACAGCCCAGAATGAGGCGAAGATATAGATCGCGCTGAGCAAGTTCGGCAGCGCATATGGCCAGCGTCTCATCCAATGAACTCCGTCGGTACCACCAAGAAATGTCCCGGGACCGAAGAATTCAGGGTAGCTATTCAGCGGATCCGCCAGTGCACCACCCAGGACCGGACCGATAATCACGCCGATATTGAAGCACATTGGAAGTAGGAGAAAGGCGCGAGATTGATATCTGTGCATGTTAGCCCAAACCGTCCCTCACTTCAGATAAAGGAACGATGTGTGAGCGCCGTTGCCAAGTAAGCTTACTTCTTCTCTTCAATAATCTCGGAAATCATGGTCCGCATCACCCCGACATTACTGTTGAGACATCCTCCCAGCGTGCGAAACACCACAGCGGCCGCGAATGAGTGCGCAAACCCGAAACCCAGACAGGAGATGCATGTCCCGAAGAGCCCGATCATAAGCACTCTCTTCCGTCCCATCCAGTCCGCATCAGCCAGACGGCCCCACCAGACTGCCGTAAGAAATTGCGCGGCAGTGAAACTGCCCTGCAGCACACCCGCCTGAGCAGAGATGGTCGAGTCTGGTAGGGAAGGGTCAAAGGATTTGAGCTGGTAGAACATGTACGCCTGTAGGGAGGTTTGCGTCAGAGGTTCCGACAGTCGCGCGAAAGTCAAGATCGCAAGTTGACCTTTGTTAGGCAGCGAGGCCCATGTCACAGGCTTTTCGCTCGAAGGGCCTGTAGGTCCTTCGGTGCCGTCGTCGTCGTCACTGGCATCGTCGCTGCTGTCGCCATCACTGCTGTTGGCGATGTCTATAGATAAGCGTCGGGAAGGGATGATTTCTGCGGGGGGCGCAAGAATCCGAGTCTGCACAGAACTGTCATCGTGGATGGCGGTGTTGTAGCTTCCTTCGTCTTCCAAGGTGTGGTGATCAGAAGGAGAAGCTGGGCCCAGAGATTCGCTTCCCTCGTGGGAGGGATTTCGGTGGAGATAAGCAGCCTTGCTGACTTCGGTCGCATCCGTGGGCACATCTACATCGCCGCTGGACCGGTTGTGGTGATCATGATGTAGTTGCGGTGAAGTCATCAGAAGAGAAAATAATGTATTACGGTAAGCTTGCGTGGTCCAACGAAAAGCAACTCGGCTACATTCAAGAGAGTGAGTGGCAAGGAAGGAAATCAAAACTCAAGTCGTGATGTGGGCGCGCAGAAAGAATAATAGACAGAATGAGCCGTCTTCGGCCTAAAGCTTGTCATCGCCACTAGTGCCTCTTTGGGTATTTCCGACCGCTTCTTCGGCACGCTATTGCCGACACTAACTTGATGTATTACGTTTTGGTCCTTGTATAGCTATCAGGCACGAGACCAGAGGAATGCAATGATTATCCAACCCTAACCTACCATAGAAACACTTGTAAAAATCCATTCAAACAATGCTAATGATCCACCAAGCAACCGACACAATGCAACGCCTAATCCAACCCTAGAGGCCTTCCCGGCACATAGAAGTGAAAGAGAATTCCGCAGAACCGTAAACAAACAATAACATCTCTTTACTGCAAGTTTTATATCATGCCCATAGAACGCAACAGTGTCCAAAGCCACCGGAGAACACCAGCTCCCCTGGAAAAGGTGGACTTCGGCATCGGATCCATTGCCAGAGCCTGGATAAGCTCGATTCGATGATGTGCGCAAGCGGCATGAGATAAAGGGGGAAACGGAGATCGAGAAATTGTAAAAGTTGCACGAAAGGGAAAGTGAACACGAGCTGAAGCCAAGCGCGGCCATGTAGTTGAGTTTAGTTGCGATGGTTTACACCACTTCGGCCCGTGAGTTCCATTGTGCTTTCAAATCCTTCCCAAGGCAGTTCATCATCATCATCATCATCATCAAAGTCCGTTTCAACGGCTTTGTGAGAGGACTTAATGGATGCGGCGGTCAAGTCACCTGTAGGGCCGGCGCCTGTGTCAATCCCAATAGATTGAAGAGTCACTTCCATTTCCTGCTCGGTCATCTCGCGACCGTCTTGTTTCTGTCCCTCGAGTACATCGTACAAGGCGTAGATCTGATCAGCCTTCATGTCGATATCTTTCAACAACTTCTCAATCTTCTCACCAAGCGACTTTCGTTGCCTCTTGCTTAGCGAAGCATCCAGCTTATTGTATGCACCTTGGTACGCAACTAGCTGTATCTTCAGGTGCGCCAGTTCATCTTCCAAGGCCTTGAGCACAGTCGCTAGGGCAATCTCGGGGGACTGCGCAGGCCGCATAGTAGGGTCTTCATTGAGAACGGAAGGCTCAGGCATACGCTCCGAGACAGGAACAGGCTTGGGAACTTTTACCGTCTCGACCGAGTGGTCGCAAGAGTCACCAGGCATGACACGCTTACAGACAGTGCAATTCTTGCGATTATGCTGAGTAGCACTGTCAAGCGCACGCTGTGTGGCTTCAGGTAGCTTAGTGAGGTTATCGACAAGGCTGGCAGGATTAAGAGTGATATCAGGTAGGATGAACGCGGAAGTCATCTCCTCGGCCATCCGACGCCGCCGCCTTGGAGTAGCAGTAGTTGCGGCATGGTCTGAATGACGTCTGGGACGTTCAACAGGCACTGAGAGGTTGCTGTCACCTTCAACCATGCTAGCTTTGGATCTGGCGGTCAAGTCGCCCATTGCTGATGCGGGTCTTGCTGGCAGCCCCTTGCTTTCTTTAAGGGATGATTTTCTAGGTAGTCCTGGCTTTGCCACGCTCTGGCGCGTGGTATTCCCAGTCTCGTCACCAGTTAACTCCTTGGTAGCGGTCGCTTGGCGCTTCTTGCGAGCCAGGCGTTCTTCCTCCAAAGTCTTCCGTAGCTGAGCGATTTCGCGTTCCTGAGATTTTTGGTTAAGTTAAAAGCAGACAATATAGGTGGAAGGAAAAACTTACGTCGACGAAGCTCAGAAGCGTCAAATCCTGTTCCGCCATTGAAGATTTCTTGGTGTTGTTGGTGACCTCACCAGTTGAGTTAACAGGCTCACTCACATCGATCTCCTCCACGACCACCCTCTTGACGCGTTGCTTGCCGGTGTTGGATTGCTTCTTAGACGCGGCATCGCTAGTCCTGGGCTTGCTTCGGGATTTCTCTGCTCTCAACCTAGATCTCTCTTTTGACTGCGAAAGGTCAAGTGAGAACAAAGCCTCCTCAGCACGTTCCCTTTCTAGGCGGGCTATTTCCTTGTCGACCTGGGTAGATATCTTGGTGCTTGACTGCCCCTGACGACCGGGCTTGGATCGGGAGCGCGAGCTCTTGGAGGTAAGGTCTCTAGTGCTTCTGCTGAGGTTTCTGCTTGCCTGTGTATCAAGCTGACTATCTTCGTCGCTTATTTCAGTTGCGGATGATTGTTCGGATTCATAAGTCTCGTCCTGATCCTTGGAGCCGGATGCGAGCTTCACCAATTGGGATTTAAGCTCACTGTTCTCCTGGCGAAGAGCTTCAACCTCATTTTTAAGGTCCTGTGACTCAAGATAAGATACACCCAATTGAGAAACCGCCATATCTCGCTCTCGGTTCAATCGCTTAAGGGCAGTTTCTTGAATCTCGGCCTTCCTCTCGATCATGTCCAGCTTGTTCTGCAGAGCGAGATTTGCTGCATCCAACTCTGAATAATGGTCAGCTAAATAGCTCCTAAAGTGGGTTGTATCCGACTTACTCTGATTCTCACGCGCAAGGCGATCCTTTCGGTAGTCTTCCTCCTCGGACTCATACGATTTGGTGCGAGAAACCTTCTCTTTGCCACGAGACTTGCTCGTCTTTAATGATGCATTCTCCTGTCTCATTTCTTCAACTCTCCTCTCTGCATCGAACTTGGCCCTCTCAAGCTCGGCCACCTTATCCTGAAGT